TGTACACGACTTTCAACACATTTCAATAATCACATTAATATCAATTCTAGGGAAAATTTCCCCCACACAAGGTTAGACAAGTCACTTACCTCGACTTGCTCCAATTTAATCGAGTATTATGCTTTTTCCTCAATTTTCCGACTCCGATCGACTCGTATCTAGTCATAATCAATTCGATACAATCAAAAAAAATTATAGTAATCAATTTCATAAGAAAATATTATATTTTTTCAATAAAATCCGAAATTAGCTCAAAATTTGCCCGTGGGGCCCACATCTCAGAATCCGACGAAAGTTACGAAATATGAACGCTCATTCAACCACAAGTCTAACCATACCAAAATGACTAAATTCCAATAACGATTCGACCCTCAAATCCACAAATCTATCACATAGGGTTTTCGAATTTTTTCCAACTTAAATGACCAATTAAATGTTAAAAACCGTGATGGATTCCGGTAATCTAACCAAGATTGAGTTAAGAATACTTACCCCAATGTTTTTCCTTGAAGATATATCAAAAATCGCCTCTGCTCAAGCTCCAAGTTGTTAAAAATGGCGAATGGGACGAAGCCCCCCTGTTTTTATAACTTACGGATCTGACTAGGCTGACCTCGATCGTGGGGTCCGATCCTGGACCTCGATCATGGGAGTCCGATCATGGGAAGTCCGATCATGGTCCTCGATCATGGACCTCGGTCATGGCCTTCGATCATAGCTTCGACCATGGCCCTCGACCCTGGGGCTCGATCACAGCCATCAATCCTGGCTATCGATCATGGCTTCGATCTTTATGTCCTTCGATCACTGGCCTTGGTCATAGCTCTCGGTCCTTGGCCTTCGATCATGGCTCTCGAGCCTGCCATCGATCATGGATCTCGAGCCTGCCTTCGATCCTTAGGAAGTTCGATTTTTTGACAGCATTTCCAACAGAAAATTGCAGCAGCTTTTGCAGCAGCTGTTTAAGTCCCGTTTGATCCGTTAACCATCCGAAACTCACTTGAGGCCCTCGGGACCTCAACCCAATACACCAACAAGTCCTAAAACATCATACGAACTTATTTTAAACCTCAAATCACATCAAACAACCCTAAAATCACGAATCACACATAGATTCAAGTCTAATGAACTTTAAAACTTTCAATTTGTACAAACAACACCGGAACTTATCAAATCCAATCCAAATGACCTCAAATTTTGCACGCAAGTCATAAATGATATAACCATCCGCAGATAAGCATGTCTGGTCTATGCTTTCTCTAATGAATTGTCTGGTCCCATTCCTGTTGAAATTGGAAAGATGAAGTCACTTCAGAGTTTAAGCTTCCACAAAAACAATCTTTCTGGTCCAATTCCCCAAACAATAGGTGACTTAACTGAGCTCCAACTCTTGCACCTTTACAATAACCAACTCTCTGGTTCCATTCCTAGTAAGTTGGGGAATTTGAAAAACCTCACTGATCTGCAATTATCTGGTAATGAACTTACTGGGTCAATTCCAGCTTCCTTGGGCAATTTGAGAAACTTGCAAACTCTGTTTCTCCGGGACAATAAACTTTCGGGTTCCATTCCACCAGAACTTGCCTATTTGGATAACTTGGTTGTGCTGGAAATGGATGAAAACCAATTTTCAGGCCATTTGCCTGAGAATCTTTGCCAAGGTGGAAAACTTGAGAACTTCACGGTGAATAGTAACAAGCTGTCGGGGCCAATTCCAAGAAGCTTGAGCAAGTGCTCGAGTTTCAAAAGGGTTCGCTTTGATAACAACAGTTTCACTGGGAATTTAACTGAATCTTTTGGTATCTATCCAGAGCTTCAGTTCATTAATTTGAGCGACAATGATTTTCATGGTGAACTCAGCAGCAACTGGGAAAAATGCAAGCATTTGACTGATCTGCGGATAGCCAGAAATAACATTAGTGGCAGCATACCGCCAGAGATTGGAAACCTCAGAGGGCTACTAGGACTTGATCTTTCATCAAATCATTTGGTTGGGCAGATTCCCTAGGAATTTGGAAAATTGACCTCTCTAGTTAATATTTTTGTGCAAAACAATAAACTTTCTGGCAGTATACCTGGGTAATTTGGGTCACTAATAAAGTTAGAAACCCTTGATTTTTCAGGCAATGGATTTAATGGGTCAATCCCGATGTTTATAGGAGATTACATGAAGCTGATTCACTTGAACCTGAGCAGCAACAGATTTGGCCAGAAAATTCCGACGGAGATAGGAAGGATAACTCATCTTACTGTGCTTGATTTGAGCCATAATCTTCTTGTTGGAGAAATACCCCCTCAATTGGCCCATTTGCAGGACTTGGAAATCATCAATCTTTCCCACAATGACCTCTCTGGCTGCATTCCTAAAGAATTTATAAGTTTGAGTGGTTTGCAGGATGTCATATTGTCATACAATGAGTTGGAAGGTCCAATACCAAATAATAAAGCTTTTATGAATGCCTCATTAGAAGGTAATAAAGGTCTTTGTGGTAATGTAACAGGATTACAGCCTTGCGAAAGTCCATTTTGTAATTATGGCCAATATTTTGGCAAATAAAGTCAATCTCACATAAGTATAAGCATTTTTGCAAAGTGTAGACTTTGTTGGTAATATATTCTTTGGGACCCAAAAATATTGCATTGTGTGGCGGATATTATTTGCACAAGTTGTATCTCTTCTTTTATACCTAAGAGACCAAGACTTTTTTGCCTATAAAAAGGAAAGCCATTAGTTCATTTTAGACACACCAACAAGACTTGAGTCTTCATTTCTTGTTTCTTCCTTTTCTCCTTTATTAAGAGTGTTTTGTATGAGAGTTAGTGTTGGAAGCACTTGTGTGAACCCTTTCTTTAGAGTGATCTTGTGAGGTTATTCTCTTAGGGTATTTAGGATTAATTAGAGTATTTACTCTAATTTTGTACTCTCTTTTTTACTCTTGTTGGTATAGTAAAATTGTTCCTCTCCACTTGTGGACGTAGGTTACTTTGACCGAACCACGTTAAATTTGTGTCTTCTTTATCTACTTTAATTGCCGTTGTTATCAACTTCCATTGTCTTTGTTATTGTCATTATAACGTTGTTTGGCTAAATTTCGCACTACCGGAATTTTCGATCCTAACAAATTGGTATCAGAGCCGGATCTAATCGGGTTAGTTTCAATAGTCAAAATGACTCTATAACAAAGACCTATGTTGAAAAATTTCACCGAAGTGCAAACTTCGAAATGTGGCAATTAAAGATGGAAGCTATCCTAATTCAGGATAGCTTAAACTTGGCGTTGCAAGGAAAGAAGTAGAAGCCGGATAAAATGACAGATGAGGAGTTTGTCGTCATAGACAAAAGGGCAAAAACATGTATCATTATAAATCTCTCTAATGTAGTTTTACATGAAGTTTCTGTAGAAACCACAGCTAAAGGCACGTAGGAAAATTAAAAACCTTATATATGAAGAGGATGATGAAAAATAGACTTTACCCGAAGCAGAAGCTTTATACAATTCGTATGGGCGAAGGTACCTCTATATTATCTCGTCTTGACACCTTTGATTCCATTCTTATGGATTTGAGTAATATAGATGCTGAAATTAAAGATGAGGATCAAGTCGTGTTACTGCTTTGTTCTCTACCTCCATCTTGTAAGCATATAACAGATACTATGCTTTATTCAAAGGATAATATCTCTTATAAGGATATTAAATCTATCTTAAAATCAAAAGAACAGATAAATAGTGACATTACTAGGGAAGCTAGTGGAACTCAAGCGAAAGTTGGCTTAGTTGTTAGGGAAAAATCCGACTCCATATCCAAATACAATAATTTAGAGTGTCGCTATTGTCATAAGAAAGGTCACATTATCTTTAAATGCTATAAACTGAAAAATAAAGAAAAGCATAAGGAAAGAAAAAATGAGCACAAAAATACTGACATAGCCGAAGCTAGTGTATCAACTGATGAGATTGAGGGAACTATATTTTTAGCAACTGAAACTAGTTTCAGATCAAACAATGAGTGAATTTTAGATTCCGGTTGTTCATATCATATGTGTCCTAGCGGAGACTTGTTTTCTACATATGATTCAGTTGCAGGTGGAGTTGTCCAACTAGGTAACAATGTTACTTGTAACGTTATTGACAAAGGTACAATTCGAATCAAAATGCATGATGGTGTGGTGAGAATTCTCACTGATGTTAGACATGTTCCTATCTTGAAGAAAAATCTATCTCTTTGGGTACTATAGAATCTCTTGGGTGCAATTACGCAGGTGAAGGTGGAGTTCTGAAAGTTTCTTATAGTGCTCTTGTGATCATGAAAGCATACAGATTTGGTTCGTTGTACACTTTATTGGGATCCACTGTTATAGGCCCTACTACAGTTTCGGTATTAGATAACTTGTCTGATTTTGATGGCATTAAATTTTGACATATGTCCATTGGGGTTTTTGCGGAGAATGTAGAGCAAATTTACTATATCAGCCAAAATTAAGTCAAGGTGGAGATTTGTAATTATGGCCAATATTTTGGCTAATGGAGTCAATATCACATAAGCATAAACATCTTTGCAAAGTGTAGACTTTGTTGGCAATATATTCTTTGGGACCCAAAAATATTGCATTTTGTGGTGGACATCATTTGCACAAGTTGTATCTCNAATATCATCAAAGGTGTTGCTTTTGTTTTATCTTACATGCACCAGGATTGCTCGCCACCAATTGTTCATCGAGACATATCAAGCAATAATATTTTGCTTGATTCTGAGTATGAAGCTTGTGTTTCAGACTTCGGAATAGCTAAGCTTCTCAATCCAGAATCATCCAATTGTACTGCNACTTTAATTGCCGTTATTATCAACTTACATTGTCTTTGTTATTATCATTATAATGATATTTGGCTAAATTTCGCACTACCCGAGTTCCCGATCCTAACACATTTTCTGTGATGGAGAAGCACTCAAGACGTAAACTCATCCTCGTCTCTGTACTTCCTGTTATGGGAGCACTAGTACTTCTCTGTACTTTCATTGGTGTTCTGCTAATGTGTGATGAAAGAAGAAGAGTTGGAGACATTGAAAGACGGGATTCCAGTGATGTTGTTGATGTTGATGAAGATAATGGTTTGCTCTCGATATCCACGTTACATGGAAGTGCACTGTACTGGGATATCTTAAAAGCCACAAAAGAGTTTGATGCAGTGTTTTGCATCGGGAAAGGAGGGTCCGGAAGCGTTTACAAGGCAAAGCTTCCATCATTTGAGAATGTAGCTGTAAAGAGACTTCATTCTTCATTTGAGAATACACATCTCAAAAGCTTCATGAATGAGGTAAGGGCATTGACAAGGATTAAACATCGGAACATTGTGAAACTCTATGGCTTTTGTTCTAATGCAAAACACTCGTTCTTAGTTTACGAGTACGTGGAGAGAGGGAGTTTGTTTAGTATCTTGAGCAATCAAGTAGAGTCCAAGAAATTGGATTGGCTTAAGAGGGTGAATATCATCAAAGGTGTTGCTTTTGCTTTATCTTACATGCATCAGGATTGCTCGCCACCAATTGTTCATCGAGACATATCAAGCAATAATATTTTGCTTGATTCTGAGTATAAAGCTTGTGTTTCAGACTTCGGAATAGCTAAGCTTCTCAATCCAGAATCATCCAATTGTACTGCACTTGCAGGCACATATGGCTACGTTGCACCAGGTAAGATTTTCCTCTTTATCTTGTCTCAATTCATGAATTCAAGGGGAACTCTCTACTGTTTTTATCTCATTTACACGTTTAAGTAGTTAATACTTCTTTGGGAACTGTATTTTTTCAGAGCTTGCCTACACAATGAAGGTTACAGAAATGTGTGATGTCTATAGCTTTGGAGTATTAGCATTGGAGATAATCAAGGGAAAGCATCTTGGGGAATACATTTCTCTGCTAGCAAATTCATCGACTAGAGATCATGTGCAACTTAGCGATTTGCTTGATGAACGTCTTCCAAATCCTGAAGACGAAGTAAAAGAGGTTTTGGTTTTTATCATCAAGCTAGCGAGCTCTTGTTTGCTGGAAACTCCAAAATCAAGGCCAACAATGCACTTCATCTACCATATGTTGTCAATGGATCCACCTGCTTATCATATAACCTCCATGAAGGCGAAAAGCTTCCTCGAGATATAAGGTGTTTGTGTATGGAAAAGAGCATGTTTTGATGCCAAGTGGTTGTGAAGCAAGAATAAGTAATAATGCTTATTTATTTGTGTGTTATTAGTGTGCTTAATGCTTATTTAGTTTAGTGTTTCAACCTGAAGGATTCTGAGCTCTCGTACCAGAGTATATATAGACGTGCAATATCATGTACTATATACTTCAATTTTCTCGTGCCAATAAGTAATAAACGATTTTCATGTTTGCTAAGTACTAATGTTCGTTGTATTACTTTGCATAGTGTTTGACCCAAAAAAATTATCTTTGGCTAAACTAATTAAATGTATTTAATGAGGGATTAAGCCTAGTTAATAATAATAACTTTAGATGTGTATGTAATGTATGGATATCAATAATGGAAGAGGAATATCAAGCGTTTAATGACAATAAATGGCACTAAAGTAAATAAGGAGAATGATTCACCAAATATTGAATGAGGTGAATGATTCCTCTTCTGACTATGATGAATGACAGATAGGTACAAGAATATCCGAGCCTTTCTCGGATCTTATATACAAAATATAGAACAATCAATAATCGAATCTCTTCAGAAAGATAGTCTATTTATTTATCTATCGAGAGTCTACTTTATCATGAATGTTCTTGATAGAGGAAAACAATCTCCCCCACATCTGATCTCTCACTTTATATTTATAGGGACATGCCCCAATTAACCCTAAAACTACAAGTATAAAGAATATCCAATGGAATATTCTCTTAAAGGTCATATTACTAAACTGGCCGTTACTGCTCCCTCTGATACTTGATCTCGGCCATGACTGGCTACTCGGCGGTGAATCCCATCAGTTACTAGTCGACCTCGGCCAAACTACTTTTGGCCACATCTCTCCACGTTCAATATCTTTAGGCAGATTTTGACCCATACAGTTAGTCCCTCCGCTTATTGGGGTCGCCTTTTGGATGACCTCGATGAGCGGACTTCACCAGTCGTAGTTGAGAGATTTTAGGTGAGCGGTTCAAATAGTAACGCTCTTGGAGAGATGATAACGTGGCATTTCGTGAACCATAACTTATCGTTATGTCGATTCAGAATGATGTCATGATACCACGTGTCATTATTATGCATTTTCTCGATGTATTGCATCGTTTTCCATGCCTCTATCATTTCGACATCCGTGTTGGGCATCGACGATTTCTATTCTCGATCGTGGTGCCTGGGTTCCTATAAATAGGGATTCAAGACCTTTTGCCTGATATTTTTGTGTTTTTCAAACACTGAATCTTCATCTCTTCCTTCCTACTTCCATTTTTCTTGCTTTTGTTACCTTCATTCTTATGTACCTGTTTTCACCAGTTCGGATAACTTCGGTCACTTATATCTTTTCTGTGCTTGCGTATTCTCCATATAAAAATGAGCAAAAATGGTTAATACAATTAATTCGGGGGGAGTACCTAATCCTACCCCCTTGGCAGTTCGCATGCCCCCCTCCCCCACGATGGTAGGGTGGCCATGGTTTCTGAAGATGACAGTTTTCCCACGGTGGAGGAAATAATTTCCCACAAGGAGAAGGCTAGGTCTTACTTCTCAAAGATGCCCGAAGATGACCCCGAAATCTCGGAGTCGTTGATGACAAAGGCGGCCATCGCAGAGTTTAGGGCTAAGTTCAAAATTCCCGCCCACATAGACCTTGTCCCAGTAGGGCACGACGTGGTGCAAATACATCGCCCTGGGTACTGCGCCTTCTACGCATACCCCTTCTTCGTAGGCTATTCTTTTCCTATCTTTCCTCTGATAGGACCGGGTATGCCCGGCTACTACCGGGTGTGCCCGGATCAACTCTCCCCCTACATTTACAAGCTCATCTACATGATTTCGAAGTTCGCGGAGTTGGCCGGGGTCGAGGTGACCATCTGTCACTTGATGCATCTCTTCGCCCCTAGTTTTTACAGGGGGACGATGTTTCATCTTCGCCACTGGGGCGACAAGTGTCTTGTGGTAAAAATAGATGACAAGGCCAACCGCCAGTTTTGGATAAACTACTTCTATGTCAGAACTGAGGACGTGGTGGCAAATGCAAACGGGTTTCCTGAGCTTTGGAACTATGCTCGTAAGTTCCTTTATTCCTTTTTCCTCTATTACATTTTATGTTGGTAACCTTGGTTGTACTGTATCTTATCTATTTTTATGCAGCGGAGGTTGAACCCCCTCCTTTGGTCGAGAATATTCACAAGTAGGTTAGTCGAGTCCTTCCTCATACAGTGGAGATTCGCGAATGGTCGGCCTTCCGCAATAAGTTCGGGCCCAAATTTCTCAATAAGCTTGCTCGTCTTCGTCATTGAATTTTTCCGATAAGCTGCCTTTTAGGCTGACTTTTATCTTTGCGGGGGTTGGTTCCGACATTTTCTCTCTTTTGTTCTGTACGGGGAGGTCTGAGGAAGCCGATAACTCCTACTTCTGCGTTCCGCCAGGAGACTGCCACAACGAAATCTGTTTCAGTTGCAACTGCGACCAATCCTGCGAGGTCGTCTGCCTCCGTTCGATCTCCGATTTTGGCGAGATCAGCTCAGTCATCGGCGGCCTCAGCATCTGGGACATCGGCTTTTCCTGTGCTGAATTTAGTGGATGAGTCATCGTCGAGCGGGGAAGATTTGAATCCATGAAAAAGGAGATTGGTGGATGTTGTCTGTGGTACAGTTCGAGTAGTGGACTCTACAAGGGATGGCTATGAGCCGACCATTGTTGTATCTGAAAGTGACGCAAATCCGTCGTCTGGAGTTCCGCTATCAACGGGAGTTGTGGAAGGGGTGCGCCCTTTCCTAGAGTTGGGGTTGAAGTTGGAGGACCGTCCGTGGAGGTTGATAAGTGGGGATTTAGACTACTTATTTCTTTTGACTTTCGTTTTAGTTCAAAAATGTTTAAATGTATTCCAAAAACTGATGAAATATGCTTACTTGCAAGAGTATTGGAAAATGAGCCATTACAATGAAATCCAACTCAAGGAGTGCTTTTGAACAAGGACAAAAATCAAGCACATAGGCTCAAGTGTGGACTGCAGAATTCTATTTGCGGCCACAGAATATGAAGAAGAATCAACAAAGCTTCAGTGTAAAGTGCAGACCGCACAATAATTATGCGGCCGCAGAAGTCAAAGTTCAGAGAGTTTCAAATTCAAGCCCAACAATAACTGCGGACTGCACTATAATTGTGCAGCATCAGAAATCAAATGTGCGGCCGCACCCATAATTATGCGGACCACAGAACTTAAGATATGCGGCCGCAATCTAGAATTGTGAGGCCGCAGAATCTACTCCTGACAAGAGCTGAAGAAAAGTGCGGACCGCACAAAGAATTGTGCGGCCGCAGAACCTTCGAAAGAGCAATTTTATCCGAAAATTCCAGCTTTGTATAAATATACTACTTTCACGAAATTAGGTTAAGTTTTTGGATACCAAAAAGTCTGTAGCCGTTTTTCTTTACTCTTTTAGGCAACTTTAGTTTATATTGTTGATTTTACACTGGATTTCATCTATTAATCATTCAATATGAGTTTTATCATCTTTTCTTCTTTATTTTCTTCATTACCCACTATGAGTAGTTAAATTTCTAGCTAGGGTTGTGACCCAACCCTAGTGTAGGAACCTAATGGGTATTTGATTTAGGGCTTGTTTATGGTTGGGTATGTATTATTTAGCCTAGTTCTTGATATAATTGTAGAATTAATGGTTGCAAACATTGGTTCAAGCCTATTTGACTTGGTCTATACTTGAGAAAGAGAGACTTAGTCTAGGAAAACTTGGCTAACAAGAGTTTGGGATGAAAACAAGAGATTGATAGTCTCAATTAAAGGGTTGAACCTAGAGATAGTAAAACTCGACTTGAGCAATTTGTCAACTGTTTAGCTCAAGAACCATTTGGACTTGAGAAAGCTAAATTGGGCAAAACCACTCTCTTACCGAGAGGTATTGAGTGGGTATTTGAGTGTTGATTGCTATAATATATCCCGATCAACGAAACTCTCCCTAAAGCCTACAACCTGTTAGGCAAATACCTAGGTGGAAGTCACAGCCCTAGACCTTTTACATATTTGAAAAACAACAACAAAACATTCTTCTCTAGTTTCATATTTTTCAATTGCTATCCTTAGTATAATTTTAGAAGTAAAATCAAAACAAAGTTTGTGGAAGTGCAACTTAGACAATTCACGTTCTTATACCAAATACATACCACTAATCCCATCTACGCTCCCTGTGGATTCGATCCCGACTCCTAGTTGGGTATTATTATTGCAATCGACCACTTCACAACCCCAATTTGAGGTGTGACTTGGGCGAGATCAATTTTTGGCGCCGTTGTCGGGGAGCATAAAAACAGATTTAGCTATATATTTGGTTTTGTGTGTGAATTATCTTCTTTTCCTTCTGTGTTACTAATTCTTTTGGTGAAATAAGTGTAGGTGAAACAATGGCTCTCAACAACAATGATCCTCTCGGAAACATGCCTTTGGGGGATATGGACGTGGAAGATGACCAAGTTGAAGAGGTTCTTCTTGAACCTCAAGTAAATAGACGAGGCCGAATGCCTCAAGACAACGTTTGTGTTCCACCCCCTTCCACCAAGAGAGGCTCCACACCGGGTGTTTCCAAACGAAGTATATGCAAGTGCCATTATCCGCCTCGCATTAGGGCGGGCAACTTTCAAATCACAAATGTTATGCTCACATTGCTAGAGCAACGGGGATTCTTCATCGGGGCTCCGAATCAAAATGCATATAAATAATTGAAAGGATTTGTGGACACTTGCTGGGGGAGTAAACAGACAAATGTCTCCGAGGATGCTTTAAGGTTGAGGCTATTTCCTTTCCTCTACGGGGGAAAGCCTTGAATTGGTTAGAAAGGTTTCCAAACCATTCCATCCATACATGGGATGAATTGGCGGAGAAATTTATTTCCAAGTTCTTTTCTCCCAGGCATATGGCTATTCTTAGAGACGAGATTCTAGCATTCAAACAAGA